GTTTTCTGCATTTCTTACCTCAACACTGCTTTTCCTAGAGTCATCCATTTCTTCCCTCTACCTTACCCCCATCCCATTAATCAGACAGGCCTATGTATTATTTCTCAAATATATCTCACATCATTTCTTGGATCACCTCCAACTTACCTCCCCCCCGCCCTCATTGCTTTTGCTTTTGCCTAAGCTTAAATCCAGATGATTGCAGTAGCCACTGACTGTTCTTTGGGCTATAGTCTAATGCCTTCCTTCTCCCCTTCATTCTCCCCTCTGCCACTAGCACGATCTACCTAAAATACAGATCCTGTGGCTCTACTGTTTTAAATCCTCCAATGACCACCCCCAACACTTGCAGGAAAAACCAAGCCTTTTCATTGTACCCCAGTCTCTTCATGACATCTATTCATGATATCATTGTCTGGAACTCTCCACCTCGCTCCCTGTGCTTCAGCCATACCAATGACCTGCTGGTCCCCTCGTGATCCATTACCTCTGACATCATCTCCTACCACTCTTCTTCACTCTGGCCTCCTTGCTGTTTCTCTCACCCACCATGGTGCATTCTTGCTTAGGGCCTTTGCACTGGCTGTTCCCTCCGTTTAGAACACTCCTCCCCCAGATAGTTGCATGGTTCATTCCTCTACCTTCTTCAAGACAATCCAAATGTTACCTTCTCAAATTTAAATTTGCATACTGGTTATATGTTTAACCTATTATGCTCACCATTTATTGTCAGTGCCTCAATACCCTCCCCTTTACCCCTCCCTCTAACATGTAAGTTCCAGACAACAGGGAATTTGTTTTGTCTTATTAAGTTTATTGATATATTCTAACCACCTAAAACAGTGCCTGATAAATAGTAGGTGCCAAATAAATTTTTTTGAATAAATTGAATGCATAGAGGTACATGTTTTTTCACATCTCTCTTTTCACATGTTCTTCTCTATGACTGAAATACCCTAATTCAATCTATTCCCCCTCATCTACAATCTTACTGATACATTTTTACTTCAAATGTTTCTTGTTTATCTATTGGTTTCCCCAACTTCTTGGGTCAGGGAGCATCTTATGTTATCTTTCTATGCCTATCTCCTAATACATACCACAAAATAAAAAGGCACTTAATAAACGTTTGTTGAACTCAGCTGACCTGAATAATGTTGTATTTCAAGAAAAGGGCCTAAATGCATAGATCACATACAAACTGACCAAACTACACAGAAGATCTCATTCCATAAGTCCTTTCGCTTAATGCAGAAGGTACTGGTGTATCAAGTTGGATAACTTGTTGATAGCTAGTCTCAGACCAGATGGTTAGTGCATTCTGGTTTTTAGAATTGGGAAGTGCTCCCTGACTGAAAATCAATGAAGAGAAGTGGGGAGGGGATTCATTGTCACTCAGTTATTTACTACATGTAGGACATTGTGCAGGTGATTTTACATATATCTACTCTTATCCTCACAACAAACTTGTGAAGCAGATATTTATATTTTACAGATGAGGAAGCTGAGATTAGAATTAAATAATTGCCTAAAGTCACAAAATAAGTAAGGGGAATTACTGGAATTTAACCCAAATGCCCTGTGGAACAAAATCCAGCCCTTTTCCCTGCACTAGGTTGCCTCCCCTGCCACAGTGTGGGAGTTTTAGTCGCAGAGTCATCTTCCTATGCATTTTGAATTCACCCACTTGTTTAGTAAAACTTGTATTTGCATCTGTGGGGTCTAGTTCTTTTATTACTCTGAACAAAGTGTGGAATGTTTCCTACAACATACTCATTCTCTCAAAGTTCAGACCCTATGGAATCTAATAAAATTTAATGCTGGCCTGCAAATGCCACAAAGTATAACACAGAAGCCGATCAAATCGCCAGCCTGCTTGGAAGAGATGCCCCTTTCAAATGAGCTACCAGAAAAATCCCACCCACGCCTTTCCCAATGTGGATGGACTGGCCAGCACCAGGCACCTTGCCTGACCTGATTTGATTCTGAAGGGCAGGTCTATAAACCTGGATATGAACTTTTTCATTTCCTGTTCAAGGCTTTCTAATTTCTTAGACAAAAATAAAAATAAGGGCAGAAGCAGTGAGGGGAGGTGGGAGGAATACAGGAGAGGAAGTTTGGCGTAATTACATTTTGAACAGCCAGATATAGTCTGTGTCTTCCCTCAGGACTGAGCAAAGAACAGTCCAGTTAAAAGAGTCCTTTAAGGAGGATTGTTGTGAACGACAGACTTGCAAAGCACTGAGAAGTCTATTCCAAAGAAAAAACTATATTCATTTCAGTTACAGCCATCTCTTGTCATGACCGAAGAGATGAAGGGCAGAGGAGTAAAGAGCTGTCATAGAACAAGAGACCATATTACCAACAATTACTCAACCCACTGGCTTAATTTTAGCCAGGAAAAGCCTCAGTAAAGACATTTAATAATCGAAAAGCTTAGCTGAATAAAGATGACAATTATGTAGCCCCCAAGATCAAAAGTGGACAATGCATGCTCTGGGGAAGGCTGAAGATGCCCCCAGAAGCTTGACCTCCAGGACCTACTGGATGCTCCAAAGGCAAGGGTGAGCAGAGCTCAGTCTGTAACCAGAGAACAACCGATCTGTTGGTCCACTGATTATGTCGATAGTCTCCAGTTTGATGTCCAATCATTTGTTTCTGTGATGAGTGAACTTTGCAATAAAATATACATCATTCAATTTTATGGCTGGGAGAGGCCTTAGAGATTGATCTTATCCACCCCTTCATTTTAATGATGAAGCTTCTCAGACATAAATTTAGGGAATTCCACTTCCCAACTTTTATGAGAACACTAAGTGCAATAACAGAAAAGAGATTCTGGATTTTTCCAGGTAGTGCTGAATTTGCATATCTTGCCTGGTTGGCCCCATGAGTATACCTGCATTTGTCAGAGCGTGTGCTCCAATTTGAGATTTGGAAAAATATGATCACCTGATGGCTCAGAAAATAAGGTTGGAAAAAATAAAATGTTCAGAAAATCTGGTTTGGCTTATGCTTCCGCGCTGAGGTACACAAACTGTTGAAGGGAAGAGAATAGAAACATGTTCTACTCCTTTTCTCTCTCTCTCTCTCTCACTTTTTTAAGCTTTCATGGAAATATGTGCTTTGGGGAAAAAAACAGCAAACATACGGAGGCCCCCACTTGAACTATTGATAAAGATAACAACAGGAAGAAATACAGATAGAAAAGGGGGGAAAGAAGTACTTGTACCTGGAACACAGTGAGTTAGAATTTAGCAGGTCCATAGAATTAATATTCATGAATTTTAACAGCTTAAGAATGCTCTGTGAAAAACAGATCTAAATACATTAGGCCCGTGCAGCTAACCTGGTAGGGGCCTGAGCCTGAGAGATGCTGGAAAGGAGAAAGCAAGGGATGCTAAAGGGGCCCGCTGCCCAGGGAGCTCCGGCGGCTGTCAGAAAGGATCTGCGACAGCAAGAATGGGCCCCAAGAGGGAGGGATGTGAGGCGAGCTGCAGGGCCCTCTCCTTCCTCTGGTCTCTGCTCCCTCCGCTCAGAGTCGGGGAGAGCTCCGCAGAGCTTCTGCTGGAGAGGCGGGGGGGTGAAGAAAACTCGAAGGAGGCCTCAGGAGACCTCTTTGTGTAAGGAAAGTAAAACCCACAATAAACTCAGGAGCCGTTAAAGAGAACAGAAGAGTGTGCCTTTGTATTAGGCACAGCTCTTTGTTTACACTGAAAATAGAAGCATGAAAACTAAATTGCAGGCAGCTGCCTGTCTCCTTTCTAACCCCTCCACCTGTCACACTGCCTAACCATGCAAACATCCGGGCCCTAAAAGAACATTAAATATTCCTTGGTGGAGCCTTAACATCCAGGAGCCATCCAGCAATGTTTACACAGGGTGCCTGAGAAACTCTTAGATTCTAAAAGCATCTAAGTCTAATATTCCCCAGTTAAAGAAAATACCCAGAACCTCTAAACATTTCCTAAGGTAAATAATAAAACATTATTTGACCCCAGAATTTAAGCAGTGATTTGGGGAAGTTTTTACATGGTATTGGCATAGCCATCGTAAGAGACAAAAGTTTTATGACTACTATTTCAAGCCAGAACTGGCCCACTGTCCAGCTACTTTTCCGTGATAACATCAACTCCCTCTTTCCATAAAAAGGGGGGAGGGTGCTAATGAAGCCTATTCAGACAGTGAGCCTGCTCACCACTTACACTTTGTGCCCTGATAGCACCTTTCATTCAACGAGCTTTTATCTTTATCATGTACTTAGCCACTGTTTTTTTAAAAAGTCAACACTGCCTCCTCCATTTTGCAGAAAGCAATGAGAATTGCGCCGCAGGAATGGCAATACAGGGGTTGAGAAGAGACTGAAGTTCAAGTGCTAACGAGTTTGAGTTTGGACACTGAGATCCTGCCCATGCGTCACTTAGCCCCTTCCCCATATCCATCTTCCTGTCAGGGCAACTGGACACCTAGCTCATTTCGTTCCTGTTTTTTTCTATTTCCTCTGCCGGTTAGAGGCTCAGTACAAGGGTAGGGAAAATTAGGACTTTTCTGATTTTGTGTGTGTGTGTGTGTGTGTGCTGTTTCTGTTCATAGACAAAATTATCATTTTTTGTATACATGCCTCTCTCCAAATAACTAGATTGTTAACTACTTGATAAACAACCTCACATGCTTACTATCTTCAAAACCCAAGCAAAACGCAAAATACCTAGCACAGAGTGAAAAATGATGATTGCTTTTTTGAAAAATATCAATGAATGAATGAATTCTTTGCTTCTGATTGAACCTGCTTGGAGGCCCTACCTGGTACCAAGGGATCCTAGGAAACCATGTTCCATGTGGCAACTCAACCTGCTATTATTTCATTTGGGACATAGTCTATTTTTCACACTAGGGGTATAGACTGAAATGTAAACAGAGATATTTTGCTTCCTCTGTATATTTTGGGTTCTAACCATTCACCATATATTATGTCAGTCGTTTCTTTCTGATCTTTCCAGGACAGAACATTATTCCATCCTGTGAGCAACAGCTGCATGGATTGCAACCCTGCAGAGAAGAAGATTTTCATGGCCAGATGTGACCCTCTATCTGAGACTCAGCAGTGGATGTTTGAACATATTAATATGACTGTTTTAGAAAAATTTAACCACCATGCCAGCTCCTAGAAAGAAAAAACAAGGAGTGATTACCTACAGATTCTGAAAACTAAATTTTCGCCAGCATCTGGGTCGAAGGAATCAGGAATAACATTTTCTAGATCTAGGAAACCTGGTTGAAAGATTTGTAAATGCCACGTCGAAGTAGGTTGTCCTGGAGAACTTCCTGCATCTGAAGAACTTGGCTGAGAACCTCACCAGCTGCTTCTGCGAACTTGAGACTAGCAGTTCCCTTGCTGGCCAAGGGCAAAGATTATATAGGGACTTTTCAAAACAACTGCTGAGTTAATAAATCCTAGCATTTCTCAGGTCAAATCCTGCAGTAGTGAGTAGCTATGAATGGATCCTATCGTCGGGGTGGGAGGGGGGTGGAAATAGAGTGCATGACTGCTCTGACAACCTGAAGATACCAGGTGTAGGACTAGCCACGCTGGAGAGGTGAGCTGTACTCTTGGTGCCATTCTCTGACTCAGAATGGGTTAAGCAGGTTTAACCCTTAAAAGTGCTGCAGATGATTTTAGAGTGCTCATACCATTCTGTTTTCTTGTTGTTGATGTTTTTTTAAATGAAGGTGTGCTATCTAATGTAAGACTTAAATTACATCATGAAATGGACTTCCAGTGTTTCCATTCTTGCACTGACCATTTTCCTTTTCAAGCAAAAGTAGCTTATTGTTCATAAGAGTTCATGCTCCATCAATCAGCTGAAGTTCTAATCCAGTGCCCTTGTATGAATCTAGTTTAAAAACAAAAACAGAACACTATATTCCCAAGTTACTCCAAAGAGAAAGATTTCACAGAAGCAGCAAACCGTGTAAGGTATAGGAGAGGGATTTCCTTAGAAAATCTATTTTTACTTTTCTATTATTTTTAGAATTTTAAAAGTCCAATGTTTGTCCATTCATAATTTTTATTAAGGAAGGGAATGGAGTGAGGTTGATGTAATTTGTTTAAGGAGATTCTTAAACCCAAATAAATCTACACTCCAAGTGACGTGTGAAAATGTCTTGGTTCACTTCAATTCTGTTTGATCAGGCCTCGGGACATAGAAGTGGTTTTACTTGTTTGTTTTTTGATTTTTTTTGTTTTATATCATTGATATTAATGATGTTTTTGCTTTACTTGGAAGTGCACAAAAGGGATTTTCATTAATAAAGTGCTTCTGACACCATTTTCTGTAAATGGGACAATATTTCAGGGGAGAAGAAAGGAATAATTTGAAAACTAAATGGAACATTTGACCCTTAAAAGATTTTCTTTTTTACTTTTCAATAATAATGGGGATGGGAGAGGAATATATAGAGATCAAGATGGGTCTTTAGAAAAAAAAAAAAAATCATGTTTATTATACATTGCTCACATTTTTTCAAGTAGAAAAAATTTTTTATTTTACTTTCATTCTTTTCTTTTAATTTGGTTTTCCTGTTAACAAAAATGTATACATCATCTTGGACATAGACTCATTGAATTTTAGAATTGGGAAGACTTATTCTAATCCCTTTGTTTTTACAGATGAATAGCAAAAGCCCAGAGAGGGTGGTCCTAATTCCTGGCAGGGCAGATGGGTTTTCTGACCCTACTTCACTGCTTTTCTCCTGTTCTGTGTTCCTTGCTCTGTTAGCAGAGGCAGTCTGGTTATTACTCTGATTTAACTTACAATTCTCAGTCACTAGATGAAACCTATGCCTCCCTGGGGATGCGTACAAGAGTAGCATTCACCTTCAGAAGCTTTAATATATGAAACCTCTTCTTGTAAATGTTCACGGTTTTGTTTGCGCCTCAAAATCTAATCAAAATGTCCAGTTACACTGCCCTGCTAATAGTCAGGGAAGAGCTATTTCATTATCTTGACTGATTTTTCAAGCATTCTTTTGAAGAACTCTTCTTTTTAAACTGACAGTCAGAGACTTTTTTTAAGTAGGTCAAGAGATCTTGAAGCTTTCAAGATGCATAGCAGAGAAAATCAATAGTGAGAAATTAACCTGTGTGTTGAGCAATTCCAGAGAGTGAGGGAAGCTTTGTCTCAAGTGTTCAGAGAGCAATCTGGTCTTAGAATTAGATGAGCCTATAAAATTCACATTATGTCATTAAACAGTTGACTGCTGTTTATACTTCGGCCCAAGAGCCAACCTTGGGCTCTGCACCCTGGAAGGCTGGATGTGAGGATGCTCTAACCATGAGAAGCTAGCCATAGCACATTGGTACTGTCCTCTGAGAAAGCCTGGACACTGCATCACTTTAGTGTAACCCCCAAGATCAACAAAGATTGATTTCCTGATTTCAGAGGGACTATTTCTTGGATCTAATCTCACCTTTGAGTCCAAAGACATAACATAAAAAATTAAAATTAAAAAAAAACTTAAGCTTGACACAATCAAAGCCAAAATTAAAACTTCAAACTGCCAAAAAATTGTTAAATGTTTGCAAATGGGGACCATCCCAATAGAATAAAATAAAGCCAAAAGAATCTGCCCCTAAACAGAAGGGTGAGGGGCTGGTAATAAGCACATTTCAGGAGGCATCCCCCATACCACCAAAGGTTGGGACTCTACTTACTTGAAACACCACTATTTCCATTCTGAAAAATAAGAAATTTCAAATGTTGGTGTATTTATTTGGCCAAGAGGACTGAACGGTTATCAGAAAGATTCTCATTCCTGGAAATAACGTGATTTCGATCTTGAACAGCAGAGTACTGACCAACCCTTTTATCAGAATGGGAGGAAAAATATCATAAAGTTAATCTGGCCTCAGAAATTGCTACTTCTCCACAACAAAAAATGGCTTTGTCAGAAGTTAGAAAATAGTTAATTTTTAAAATCCTTCTTATGTATTTACTGAGAAAGTCTGAGCTGAAAAACAGTTGGGAACTAATTGTGGGATTTATACTTTGTTCCAAGGCTGGATTAGCACCATGGCAATAGCGACATATTGGCGGCTATGTCTACTGCACTTTAGTTAAAAATATTAATGTGATCACATGACTGGTTTTAAATGTATTCAGGGGCCTCAGTGAATAGTGCAAGTTACAGGATTATTTTGTGAATTGATAACATCGAGCTTTATAAAATAAATGCATAGCACGGATTGAAAATGGATTTACAGTCAATGAAGGAGAATGCTAGGCCCATTCTGTTCATGTTCTTACAAAACATAAAACCAATGCCAATACGATATTATTTCCTTAAGGGGTAATTATATGGTGTGAGGGTTTTTTTAATTAAAACAGCCAAAAAGTTAATAGAGGGCACATATATATAAATAGCTATTTTGTGCTTCTTGACCTTACATAAAAAATTTCTATTTCCATCCTTTTATAACTATCTCCATAAGGATAGCAAAAAGGAATCTTTTATTGGAAAGACCAGCACTATAAAGTTTATGTCAGACCAATCAAAAGAGCCAATGACACTTCGATTACTAAGCCCAAGGTCCAGTCACAGAAGGCCACCCCCCTCCCCCCCCACTGTACCCATTCCTTGCCCAGGACGTCACACACCTGAGGACCAGAACAGAATCCAGGGCAAGACTCTGACACGCCTCCTGCTTTTGACTGCCCGTCGAAAGTGTTACAGAAGCTTTCCCACAAGTGAACATTTCCCTGGCCTTCGAATGCAGTCCGGTTGTATTATTCAGATTTTAGAACCCTCCTAAATAATATGTGATTGATTCTCGTGAACCTCGATTTATCCCTGGCAAGCCATGCAGGAAGGCTGTTTAGATATGCTTTCATAAACAGGCTGCAGAGGGAAGTAAGGCATTTTATACACGTCCCGAGAAGGAAGACTCCAGAGGGAAAGTATTTTTCAGTGACTCCCTAGGATTCTGGGAGTAAATATCAGTGGCGAGAGGTAAATTGTCTCTCCAGACACGGGTGCGCGTAACCCTCTCCATCCAGCCGGTTGACAAGCTCTGCCCTGGTCACCGTAACTCTCAGGTGACACCACTAACTGTAATTACTCTCCACGTGTGAAGCCGTGGCGGGAACACTGAAGCGTGACAAGTGGCCAGTCTTCCCCACGCCGCCGGCACTGGAAGATTGCTCTTTGATTTATGTCTGTAGCCTTTGCTTGCAGAACCGGGAGCTGTTTGCGACTCTATTTGGGAGACTCGACATTGGCCTGGAGCTTTTCGTCGCGGCCCGCTCATGTCTCCGCTGGGCGCTGCAGGCTGGGGTGGGCTCACGTGTGGCACGTGGCTTCAGAGGGCCCTGGGCGCCTTTCCCCGTCCCTCCTGCCTAAAGTTGCCTCCTTCAGCTCGCCTCACAATAGCCCCCCAAGGTTTCCCTAACGGGCCCCTCTTCGCATTTGCCCGGGCCATTCGTGATACGACCAACCTCAGCACAGAAGGGCTGGCTCCGGCTCGGAATCTTGTGGATGATTTCATTCTGACCTTTTACTCACTTTGGGGAGGGGGGCTTATCACTGACATAGGTCCTGGTTTACCAGGGACATTCCTGCTTTATGCCTGCTGTCCTGTGTAACTATTAATACTGCCCCTTTTTACTCTTAAATGTGTCCTAGTTTGGATTGCAAAGTATACGGTTGCTCTACCTATAATACACCAGCCTGTTTATTTCATGGTTCCTCTGGGGAAAGTTAAAATGTCCTTTACTTATTAATGCCTACAGTCTACAAGAAATCAACTAGTGTCACCCCCTCCCTCCAGACAGGACCAGATGAAACCAGTTATATTTGACGATTGTCTATTGTATTCACATGTTTCTTTACAAGTTGCTTAATGAAACCCTTTTAATAAGAGTTCTTATACCCATCTAAGCATTTTTTTCTGAATTAAGACAATTCTAATTTAAATAGTTTTTTAATTTAAAAAATCAACTAAGTAATTTTATACTTTTTCAAGCTAAAAATCAGGACATCCTCACTACTAGCCATATTATTAATTCTCAATATTATGGTAAGAGATAGCCATAGATAGACTATCTGACATTGAAAATGCGACTATCCTCATGAAGACATTGGAGGACTCGGAGCCAAGGGGCTCGCCAGGTCACAGTCATGCAAGTTAACCGCAGATCCAGAACTAGAATTTAGGCCTTTCGATGCTCTTTCTCAGCCTCTTCAGCTCTCCATGGTACTTCATACTGCACTAGAGGGTCATGAGTCTGCAGCAAAACCAAATATGAGATGTAGTGAGTGGCTTCAAAATAGTGTAATCAGTCCTTAGGGGGTTATGTTCTCAGCCCCTTAATCGTATTTGCTCTTCTCTGTGCCTGTGTATTTTTGCTGGTTCTCCCACAAGCTTATTCAAGTAAGACTACCAAACTGAATTCAGGATTAGTCCCCTCTCAGTGAGATTTCCAGGGTACTCTGAAGAAAAGAAGTGATCAACTAAAGCTATTTGCAAAGTTCTGTATGATAAATCCCGAGGCAAATATTGTGCACTTTGTCATTATTAATGGATTCAGCCCTCAGCGGGGAAAAACAGCCACCAAGCAAAGATTTTGCGCTTACTTTGCAATAAAGCTCCAAACTGACCTTCTTTCATTGTTCTTATTTCTGCACTCTGTCCAGGTCATCTCAGCCATTTGAGACCCTCTAAATGCACTGTTGTGACTTCTCTCTGTGGCACTTTCTCTCTTCTGGGGGTCCTGGCTAAGCATGTAGATAACTAGGCTTTACCCCAAATCTACTAAATCCAAATTTTTTTATAAGGCTGCTAGATACAGATAATTCTACAGTTGAAGAGGCAATGGATTCCTTTGGGCTCCACTCTGAATGTCTTACCACTAGTGAATCCAAGTTACTTTTCTGACCAAGTTGTCTTGCTCACATACGCAGTCTGCAAACGTCTGAAGGAATGGTCAGTTGTAATCCGAAGCTAAACTGACATTGAGAGAAACATACCTAAGAGCATTTTATTTCAAAAGTCTTCCAGATTTTCTTAGGTTATTAAAGGTTGGCATGTAAGCACCTGGAGGGATAGTTAAAACACAGATGGTTGAAACTCTGGGCCACGCCCTCCAAGTTTCTGATTCATTCAATCGGGAATGGGGCTCAAGAATTTACATTTTTAACAAGTCTCTAGGTGATGCTGCTTCTGATGGTTTGGGATCCACACCTTGGCTTAGATGAAGAGCCTGGGCATTTTGACAATACCTATTTAAAGCTAAGTCTTGTTAATGTTGAATGGGTATAGAAACCATTTATC